ACACCCCCACATTGTGACGGTTTGGCCATTTAACCGAAAATAATGAGAAAGTGGTGAGCCATAATCTCCCCCACAAATTCTAGCTTATTCTAGAATTATCAACATGGCTTTCTTACTCATTAACAGTTCGAGTATTTCATTTCTCAATACTTTCAACTGTGGTTGATAAGGACTCGCAATTTCATAAGTACAAAATTTGTCAAAAAATACTCCATATCACTTTGAATAACACTTTTTATTCATATACCATGATCATTCTCATTTAAATGCTTCTAAGGCCTCGTCTTTGTTACTTAACAAAGATACATAATAAAATTTTGGTATAAATACCACAAAAGTAACAAATACTTTTCTCATAAATTGTACAATCTTTTAAATCACCAATGTGATTTAAATTTTATACACACTGTGTTTATTTTGTCTTAATATAACACACTATAAGAAACTTCTCAAGATACTCAAATCAAGAAAGTTCTTATCAAATTGTGACAGTTTGTACACAATTCAAATCTAGAGTTTAGAAGCTCCCACCGTTCACAATATAGACATATTGATCGAACGGTGCAACTGGCCACAATAATCTCTCGTATAGAGATTGTTTGACATTTTCCGTAAGAAAAAACAACCATTGTTGTTTACAAATAGATCAGATGTTCAACATCATCAAATTCATTCATAAGGTATACTTATGTCTTATAAATACAATATCCAAAAGTCAAGACGATCCAATAGATCGATCATCTTTTAGAGAGCAACTGCTCAAATATTCCTTTAGAAATTGAGCTTCTTAAGTTTATATTGTATATCAATTTCAAATATTATATGCCTCTCATTACACATACATACAAAATTATCATTTTAAAGATAAAAGTGCATCCACTTGATTTTCAATATACTAAATATTGAATTTAAGCATTATAATATCACAAATAACATGAATTATCTATGATACAACATAACATTTGGAACTAAACATGGGCTTATGAACATTCATATACGCACGTAATTCTAATTACATAATTCCAAATATTCACATGCATCATATAATTTATGCATACAAAATACTTATATGTACATAAGCATTTCAAGATTAATATGGAATAAATAATTCATTCGTACATTCAATAAACCATTATCCGATTAAACATCATTATTCATGCCGAAAAACATTTATATCATAGCATAAATATCCATATAATTTAATCATGTACTACAACATAATTTCCAATTCATAAAAATTATGCTTCAACAAACGAATATCATATGCTTCTAATTCGATGTACTCATTGACATAGACATCATATAAATAATATAACATATCATAAAATATTGTTATATGCTATTTCAAGTGTGCGACAATACTAACATCTCATAATATTATGCACTAATTTAATATAAATAATGCATACGAATTTCAGCAAAATCTCATGCATATTTCAAGATTAATCCATGCATCTCAACATATCGAAATAACATTCAAAGTAACTATACATGCTTCGAACATAACAACATTCAAGATTTATCATGCTCTCATAAATAATGTTATCATGCCAATTATAACATATAGTGCAAATATTATTACGCCATAACTTTATCATGCAACATAACCATGTTTCTATCTCATATAATACCATATTATTTATCATATAATATTATCACTTAATTGCATGAGATACAATTTTTATAAATGAAAAGGCGTACCCGAAATAATTATAAACGTATCGTTTCAAACTTCTAGGACAAATTTGAAATTCTCGCATAAGGAATGCATCGGCAGTTTTGGCAGCACTGAATAACTTAATCATATCTTTAGCATCCGATGTCCGATTTTGTTGATTCAATATGATCCGAATAGCCAACGAAATTTCCTACAACTTTCGTCTTTCCCGATTTTCTTATCATAATTCGGGTGTCATTCCATCATTATTCTTCGATTAGGTCTTCTTTCACCAAATCGTGCACCATAAAGTGTTAGAGACGTGTTGGTACGCTGGGGTTGCATCGCCTCACAAACGGTTGCATTATTCATGAAAAGTTGCGTTGGCAGTTCTGGCACCCTTTCGTGTTTTCATCATAACTTCTTCATATGAACTCCGATTGGGGTGATTTAACATGTTTTGGAAAGCTAACTTGATTTTATACAACTTTTGTGAAATGGTACTTTTTCAGATTCTGACCGTATCACCTCCGAAAATGGGCTGGAACATAGATGTTGTGTTCTGTCCGATGTTATTTGGGTGTGTGTATTTTGAAATGGGAACGAACAAAATTTGGACAGAAGTTTGACAAGAAAAATGTAGTCGAGGCAAGAACTCGGTTCTTTCTCCTTAAGACAAATTTGCCCCGTACAGTGCTCTCGGTTACGGCAATTGTCTCCCAAGATACAACGACTATTTCAGTTCCAACAAAGCAACACAACAATTATTGGAACACGGCGAACGAAACGACGTTTAGGACTTTATAAGACACGAAGAAAAGGACTTGGTAATGCAACAATATGCAATGATATATTATGACGAGACGTGAATTCAATTAATGTATTGAATTCCATGTGAATAATGAACTATTTCAAATGGTGGATTTTGGAATCTATTTATAGATTTTCAAAGGGTTATGACCACAAGTCACAACTCTTAGGAAAATAATTTCATGAAAAGGTATCACACCTTTTCTCATTAACTACACACCTATTCAATTTAATAGGTGCTTAAACACCTCCATCTTTTTCAATGGTGGCATTTCACTTTATTATTTTCCACACTTAAATATTTTAAATGATCCATTAATTTATCATTCATCAAAAATTAATTTTGAGAATTTAAATTAAACCACTTAAATATTCAACAAAATTTGAGTCAAATACTCAAAATTTCCAACAATTTCACACGAGCATACATTCTCTGTTCGTGTGAAATCACACGAGTGGGTTAAAAAAAAAAAAAACATTTTTTTTAGAATTTAAAAAAAAAAAAAATTGTTAATGTGCTCGTGTGAATTTACGCGAGCACTTGCCAAGTGCTCGCGTAAATTCACACAAGCACATGAATAAAAAAAAATTCATCTCCTCGTATGAATTTACACGAGCACTTGCCAAGTGCTCGCGTAAATTCCCACGAACAGATAAGGTTGTGGGAAAAAACGAAAAACTTACATTCGGGTCTAAGTTGTTTGGATCCATCGCAAAAATTGTTGAATATCTGAATTTTTTCACTTTGAATGTTGAGTTTTATATTTTATAGGATTGGGTAGGAATAGTACAAAAGTTAAATAGTTATGGTAAAAAGGTAAAAAATCATGGTAAAAAAGTGCATGAATGTTTAATTTGGCCTGCGTATATTATTACCCTTACTTTTATGGATGGTGTCAAATTCAACAACATCTTCTATATTCCGTAGAACCTTTTCCAGTTTGTACTCGATTTGTGCAAAAATGAAATTTCTGATACACCACAATCTGATACTTACAAGCCAAGAAACACATCATATGATCATCTTGTTTCAAAATGTAGATCTCGAATTGGGTACAAAATGGATGATATTTCACATAATTTAGAGAATAAATTCGACACTGCAAATGTGAACGTGTAAGTAGATTCATAGCTGAAAATGGCTGTAATTACTTAAACGTAAAGAATCATTTCGCAAATTGAACTTACTATTATTGGATGGGGCTAATTTACCTTTTTATTTAAAGGTCTGAAAATGAAGCAAAGGCATGATTATGTTGGATTCAATGGTAGATTCCATTGCAAATAGTCGTTAACTGCAACGTGCATCTGATTTTGTTGAGTTGGCAGCATTTAACTGGTCATTGACAACCAAATCCACCATATCCAAATACTTTTCCAAAACGCGCAAAAAGAAAATTCGGAATTTCACATTTTGGCCCCAAAACATTCATAAAATTCCCTTTTAACACCCTCTTCTTCCCACACCTCCATAACCCTTGATTCAAAGTTCCCCAAATTGCTCCATAGAATTCTCAGACACTCTCTTGTAAATTCCAAATTTTAATTACATATCCACACACAATCTCGACAACACTCGTGCTAAATTCAGCTTCAATTTCTCAGTTCCGTCTTTGAATTTCGAAACCCTTAAACAATTCAAAAACGCCCAAAATTTCTCGCCTTCAATTTTCGATTGATTCGCCTTTGTTTTTCAATTCCTCCGCCATTGCCGTTTCTTGAATTTATTGAAACAAAAAAAAATAAAAAAAAAATGGATGAAGTGAAAGATAAAATGAAGGGGCTGATGAAAAAAGTCAACAACCCTTTCACATCTTCTTTATCCGGCAAATTTAAAGGGCAAGGCCGAGTATTGGGATCTTCTTCTCCATCGCAACCACCATTGCCATCTTCTTCTTCGTCGTCGTCTTCGTCTTCTTCGTCCAATTCCAAACCCTCACCTCAGAAGCCAATCGCTACTATTTCCGAACGAAAACCCGAAACCAAAAAAAGGGCCGAAACCATAACCGAAACCGAAACGCAGTCGAAGCCGAATGCGAATGCACAACCGAAATCGGAAACTGGGTTCGACCCGTTCGACTCGCTGATCACGTCCGGCAAGAGAAACCCGAATGGGTATTCTCTGCAAGTGTTCGAGTGTCCGGTTTGCGGTAGAGGGTTCACCTCGGAGGAGGAAGTTTCTATCCATGTCGAATCTTGTTTGAGTATCGAGAGTGGTAGTAAAGAATCCGATGGCAATGTGAATCAGTTGCAGACATGTGTGAGTGCGTATTTGTCTGAAAAGCCGAGCGATGGTTCGATGGAGGTGGTGATTAGGGTTTTGAGGAATATGGTGAAAGAACCGGAGAATTCTAAGTTTAGGAAGATAAGATTAGGGAATCCGAAGATAAAGGAGGCTATAGGGGATGTTGTGGGAGCGGTTGATTTGCTCGAGTGTATCGGGTTAGAGTTGAAAGAGGAAGGTGGTGAAATGTGGCTCGTGATGGATGATTTTTCCGAGGAGAGGCTTCGTTTGGTTAAAGATGGTTTATTGTTGCTTGAGCCGAAGAAGAAGAAGGTTGAGGAGTTGCCCTCGATTTCTCCAGCTAAGTTGGAGGAGCCAATTAAGCCGAAGGAAGTCGATAGACAGGTAAACAATCGGATCCATGGTTTGATAATTAATCTTGTTGGTGCTTTTTTAGCTGCATTAAGTTGATTGTCTATGTGAACTATTATTTGTGTGTTTGCATTATGGTTTCTTATAGGAGAATTGTTGTGTTAAAGTGCACTTTGGGTGAAAATCATTGAATAGGCTCATAAGAAATCTTCAATCTTCGGAGGATCTTGTTTGTAGTAGATTTAAGATTTATCAACAAGCCCATATATAAATGAGTTCCTCGATTGAGAAGTAATAGTTGGATTGTGTTTATCCATATGGTTGCTGAGAGTAGGAGTACGAATTAGTTGAACTAACTCACGAGCCAGCTTGAGCTTTCTAACGAGCCTGAGCTTGAGATCAATTTACTTGTTCATGAGCTTACAAGACTCGCGAGCTTTTGTTACTAGAAATATGTTTTAATAATTATTAAATTTAAAAGACTTCATTTATCTTTATTATAAATATATAAAAACATGTTAACACATAATAATACTTTATAATTCAAAAATGAAACTTGGTTAGATGTTTTAAAGCTCGCTAGCCAGGGTGAGCTTGAGCTTGATGTCATGTTCAGTCTATTCCGCACCAACTTTTCTGGCATTTGACTCGGGTAAAAGAGGTCCAAAGTGGACCAATAAAACTAACCCAAAATAAGTCTACTTGTAGATAGCAACTTTCTAAAAATATGTTGTAAGTTGGAAATCATAGAACTCTTGTAAAACTTTTGATTGTACTTAGTTTCTAGAACGTGTCTAGATACGGTCATGGAGAGCTCAGAGAGCTACTCCTACTGTTGTACGATTAAATCAATCACTAACATCTAATACACAAGGTAGAATAGTGTAAATAGGAGAAGGATTTCATTTTTAAACCAACCAACCAAGTTTGTACACACTTAAATAATATATCAGTGGTACGATTGACTTATTTACACAGCTAGTTAGGAGTAACTAAAAACAATTTATTGTTTATAATTATTTGGGAACTTCTGATGACGTATAATGTATAGATATTACATTAGCTATGTGATCTTTAAAACACCTAACCATTTATTTTCGAACCTCTTTTATCCCGCCAAATGACATAAAAGTTACACTTTAAAAATAACACAAAAAAACCATAAACTAGAACTAGTGTATTGTGATATGTTAGTACCATTTGCTGCATTTTGTATAGGTTGAAATTTAGAATAAACCTTTACAAATTGTACACCATTTCCATTTCGTTCAGATGGAAAAGAGAAAATAATATCGAAAAACATAAATCATAAACTACAACCAGTGTGTTGTGATATTTTGTTCCCATTTGTGGCATTTTGTATAGGTTGAGATTTAGAATAAACCTTTACAAATTGTATAGCATTTCCATTTCCATTTTGTTCAGATGGAAAAGAGAAAAGAATATAGAAAAACATAGTGAATAATTGTCAATATTATGTGATGAAAGATAAAAGGGAAAGAAAATAAAAAAACAAAAAGCCATCGAAGGCATTGAACACAATGGATGTGGACAAAAATATGCAACATCTTCTGGAAATATTTGCCCGAGACACTTTTATTTTCTTCTCCCAGTACTTCGGATCATACCAATTAGCTATACAATTAGGTCCAATGATAATAACGTAATTCATAAAAGAGATCATTCATTCTATAGTGGCATGATATAGCTGGTTTTAAGGTTTTAACAATTCACATTCATTTATTATCTATTTATTTATTTATTTAATATACAATAGACATGAAAAATATAACTAAGGAAATCTTCAAAAAAGGAAAGAAAAGAAAATTGGTTGTCCATTATGTTTTGCTTGCTCGTGGACAATCCATAAAGTTAATATTTAGTTGTTCAAGTTGTATTGAAACACTGAAACACTTTTATGGGAAACTTAGGTTGCGTTTGGATTGAGGGATTTGAAATGAATGGATTTGTCGTATATTTATTGTAAGATCATAAAAGCTAACATCCCGTATATGAGAAAAATTTCACAATAGATATGCCTATTTGGTCCTCCAATATCTTGTTTTGATTTCTTGATCAATGCATTTGGGAGAAAAGGGTCGTTTTTTTAGTTTTTTAATATGAATTTGTTTAAGATGCCTAATTTCACTGTCTAATCGAGACGTCATAATATCGTTTTTTCGATATTTATCCTACTAGTATAGCTGGCTGCATCGAGAGGTGTCACGATACATTTTTTTTCTATTTCATTTCCGGAAAATCGGCTATGCCCTTACTATTTTCAGTTAAATTTAAATAACAAGGCGTTAATCAACATTTTTCCTTTCTTATAGGAAGTTGAATTCACGTAACAGCATCTTGTGTCCTCCCATATGCTACATTATTTTTTCTGCAATTTTTCATCATTTCTTTTCCCTAAATTGTTCGTTTGCGATCTTTTTTTCTGAAATTAGATTCAAGTGTTCTTCTCTGTCTCCGAGAGTGTAGCCGCGAAAATCGAGGTGCCAGATTCTTTCTACAACCTTTCAGCCGAAGAATTGAAAAGGGAATCAGATGCAAGAAAAAAAAAGTTTGAAGATTCTAAGCTTCTAATTCCAAAGTCGTATAGAGAAAAACAAGCAAAAGCTGCAAAAAAACGGTATAAGAAAACTCTCATTAGAATACAGTTTCCCGATGGAGTTGTGCTTCAAGCTATCTTTTTACCGTCAGAATTAACTGGCGCTCTATACGAGGTTAGTCCTTTTAATATGTTTTGAGATGGCATTAATGCTAATTATTGGATAAGTAATTAATTATAATTAAAATCCCTTGACTAAAAACCTGAATTCATACACCATATTCTTTTGTTTAATATAATTAATTTTTTTCGCGTCTTTTTTTATTAGTTTGTGAGCAATGCATTGAAAGATCCGAGCTTAGAGTTCCAGCTATTACATCCGGTTTTAATAAAGCGGCGAATAATCCCACATTCTCCAGCACCAGGAGAAAAAGCTATCACACTCGAAGAAGAGGATTTAGTTCCTGCAGCGCTTATTAAATTCAGACCAATCGAAACCGACGATGTTGTCTTTACTGGTCTCTGTAATGAACTCCTCGAAATCAGTGAACCACTCGTTTCCACATCAGCGGTTCCTCCATCATAAGTTTGTTCGTCCCAACCCTAAACTATACCTTCGATTGTGAGTTGATAACATCAAATATACATTTTTTTTTATATTTAGATTTAGTTTTATGTTGGTTTGAAATAGAGTCAACTTGTTCCGAATAATTCTAAATTGTTGTATGTACTGTCATATTTTATTTTATTTTTAATTGATATTTACAAATTTGTGATTGAATTTGAGTTTATTAGCAGTTTAACTGGCGAATTCGAGTAATTTGATTTTTTATACTCATTTTTATTAGGTCGAATTGGGAACTTCTTATCTGATTGAATAAATAAAAAATAGGGGAAAATACAGTTTTCATCCCTCAAGTTTGCACCGATTTCACATTTGGTCCCCATGTTAAAAAAACACATTTTGCCCCTCGTGTTTCAAAAAGTAAACACTTTTAGTCTTTTCCGCTAATTTTCCGTTAGTACTAACATAATCAAGTGTGTACCCATCACTGCCTTAACTATCCGACTAACGGTAAATTGACGGAAAGGAAAAAAGTGTTAAATTATTGAAACACGAGGGACCAAATGTGAGATCGATGCAAACTTGAGGGATGAAAACTGTAATTTTCCCAATAAAAATATGTACTTAAAGTTGTTCCATTATGTAACGCATCGAGTTCAAACGAACTGTAATCGAATATCGAGTATCTTGATTCGATTTAGTGTCGTAAATTGAGTTTTACGTAGGCATGTTCACATGGTTGAGTTGATGTTAAATGCATTTGCATGTAGAAGTTTGAGCTGTGTTTGTTTCTATCCGGCGAGCTGCAGGAAGTGCCGATTTTTTGTATTTTTTATTTATTTATTATTATTATTTTTGTCTCGAAATTCTGGAGTTGCAGCAGTTGTAGCATACGTAGAAGGTGTATGAAAATTTTGCAGAATTATTGAATTATGTAAATGGGGTTTTTGTAGTTTTGCTGCATTTACATCAGCAGCTCCAGAAAATGAAGATGGTTTGTTAGGGAAGTAATGGATTATGTCATTTACTCATCCAATTAATTAATTACTCTTTTATTTTTTCTATTCTATTAAATAAAATAAAAAAGAAGTCATTTTTCTCCATTAAATACTTTTAAATTAGTGTTTGGAATTCTTCTTCTCCAAATTACGTCGAGAATGCCAACTTAGGTGGTGTTTGCAAAAGCTTTTAGAAACAATTTACGAGCTATTTTTTTTTTCTTTTTTTTCTTTTTTTTTTTTTTTCCGTTTTTGCTTAAAATCAATTTTTGCTTCTACTTCTCTTAAAATAAGTTGTTTCGAATAAAATCAGATCTCGTTATTTTTTAGTCAGCAAATATATTTTGTTTGTAAAATTTACATATCCATATCCTGAAACTTTTTCAACATTTTAAATTGAAAATAATTAAATAAAGGGAAAATTTGACAAAACTCCCCCATTACACAAGAGGCATTACAATAAGTCCTTTTTATTTTTACATATTTAAGATAAATCCAAAAATAACTATTATTAATTAAAACACTTAAGTAATACAATTATACCCCTAACTAATCCCACGATATATCTTTTGTTTTTATATTAAAAGATGTATAATATTTCTTCCATAAATATCGTATTTAACACATTCTTTAATTAATGCAACGATTCCATGTCATTGATTTTGGGATTTTCGTTTCGGTGGAGTGAGAAAGTATAATTCTCAGAAATTTTTCTGATGTGTGTATGATAGGATAACTGACGTTAAAGATACACAGAGTGGTTTTCTAAGGCGGTAGAAACTTCGGTAAATTATGTTGATATATTTGTGGATTTGTTTAAAAGTTTATATAAAGTGGTTTTCATGTTTATGACTGTTTATACGGAGTGATTTTCATGTTTATATAGTTGTATACACAGAGTGGTTTTTATTTTTATATAGATGTATATACAGAGTGGTTTTCATGTTTATATAGTTATTTATACACAGTGGTTTTCATATTTACATAGTTGTATACACAGAGTGGTTTTCATGCTTATATAGTTGTATACACATAGTGGTTTTCATGTTTATATAGATGTATGTACAGAGTGATTTTCATGTTTATATAGCTATTTATACAGAGTGGTTTTCATGTTTATATAGTTATTTATCTAAAGTGGTTTTCATATTTACATATTTGTTTGTACACATGTTTCTACACCATAATTTTAGAAATACAAAATTAAAAGAACAGTAGTTATGGTGTTAATTAATATTGAGATAAATTTATTAAAATTGTATATGCAAGAAACTATATAATTGATATATTAATATAGATAAAATTACAGTACTCATATCCAGATTTTCCTTCGTCAATCCAATTATTGATAAGGGCAGGCAACAATATTCAAATCCTCGGCCAAATTACTTGGTCACAAAATGTTCAGAGAAATGTTCACAAAATGTTCAGAGAAATTATATAATTAATATACTTGTTTATACACCATGTTTCTTCCCGATCTCCATTGTTTGAATGAATTTGGTGTAGACGGTGGGTACACGAGATTTTTCGGATTTGGGAGCGTGATTTTAGGGCAGATATTTATGCAGGAGATATCGGTGCAGATTAGGGTGATTTGGGAGCGTGATTTGGAATTGATTTATCGTATTTTTAATTTTAATAATTATACTAATTAGTGGGGGTATATATGGTTTTTCAGCCTCAGTGGATTTATCTCAAATATCATTTATAAATAAAGGATTTATCAAAAATTAAAATCCCAACGAAGGGTGTTTGGCATATAGCCCCTTAAATAAATATGTAGAAAATTGTCTCATAAATGGGTGGCACCAGTCACAACATAGGTAATTAATTGTATCATAAATGTTACTTGTGCTGTTTAAATTGGTATATAACCATTAAATAATAATAGTAATTCATCCTATTAAAGGTCCAATAAAAGAAAATTTTGGTGATTAAGAGGGTGTTTGGCTAACCTTATAAGATGTTAAAATGAGCTTATAAGATGTTTTAGAGCTTATAAGCTCTTCCAAAGTGTTTGGTAAATTTTTAGAAAAAGATCTTAATTTTTTTAAAAATAAGCTGTTGGAGAGCAAATAAGATCTTTTTAAATAAGTACCTCTACCCCACCTTTTTATTTAAGATCGTTTAATGAGTAAAAATAGGAAATAAGCCCTTTATCCAAACACTCTAAAAATTAATCCTAAAAATAAGATGTAACAGCTTATCAGCTCTTAAAATATCTTATCAGACGTAAGAGCTTATCAGCTGTTTAAAATAAGCTTAGCCAAACACCCTCTAAATATCAATTGTAAAGACTTCAACTTAATTCACAATTCGGTAGTCACATTGTAGTCACATTCTCATGTTTTTTTGTAGTGCTGCACATCATGTCGTCAACCTTGATAATTCTGTTAAAGTATGGAGGGTCGTTTGGGGTGAAGATATGCCAGGGTGATTTTGTGTATGAAGACCTCGCCCTCTGTCTCGTTATTTTTCTATCTTTATTTATGTATTTTTCGATTTTTTTTTCCAGATCTGAACAGTAGTAGTAACATGACTATAGTCATATTCGAATATGACTATAGTCATATTTAATATATTTTTCGAATATGACTATTCAAGTTGACTTCTAATAACAAGATTCAAATTGTGATTTTTTGTGTGGATGTTGATTGAATTGTTTTCGTAAATAATAGGGAATCTTCGTTGTTTTATATGATTTGGTAAACATCACTATGCCATATAATCGGAACTTTTAAGTTCAAAATGTAAAAAACAACAATATAAAGAAAGAATATGACTACAGTTTTGATGATGCTAATTACATAGTCACATATAGTCATATTCAACCATAGTCATATTCGGCGTTGCAAACCTGTTGAGAGAAAAATTTCAATTTTTTGTTTAAAAAAAGTTTTAAAAAAATTTAAAATAATATTTTTATTAAAAAATATTAAAATTAAAAATAAATTCAAAATGACTAAATAAAGTCCAAAAATAATATAAAAATAAAAAATAAAAATAATAAAATCCGATTATTTTTTTATTTTATTTTTTTGATTTCGTAGCAGTAATTTTTTAGGAATTTGGAACAGATTTTTAGGAATTAAATTATTATGGAAAGAGAGAAAAAAGGAATAATTGAGATAAATTAGGGAAAATATATAATTAAGCCTAATTAGCGGGATTAGGTGCCTCATTAATAGGGATTTCGAAATTACTGGATAATTATAAAAAAAACGTGATACACTACTAGAGGGGTAAGATTGGAAATAAATATTCTAGGGGGTTTTCACAAAGAAAAAATTATTGTATGGACATATTACTAGTTTTTATCTAAATGAGGGGTGTATTGCTAATGACCCCTAAAATTAAATATTATAATTAGTAAAAAATCAATTTTATTAGTTTACCAGACTCAAGCCATTCTTTGATCCTATTGAACCGGGTCAACTCAGACTCGGATCGTGGTTCGGTTGACTAGTATTTTTAAATAATTAAAATAAAAAAAAACTTTTTTATACAGTTGATCTAGACCTGATTAACAAAAAACACTTTTTTAATTAAAATCTATAAATCACTTATCCACGTTCACGAGGCAGATAGTATCATACAATTTTTTGGTGCCACCTAAAAGAATAATAGCGTTGCTCTTCACAACGAAACCGGCTGTCAGACTTTTAGGCCACGTGGGGATAAATCACAGGACCGAGAGCTGTGGACACGTGGCTATATTTCGGTGCTTGGCAGTCAGTCGTATGGTACAACCGGAAGGTGGATATGATTTTTCAATTAATAAATGCCTGAGTTAAATCATATTGCACGTGGTAAATTACCGGGGACCGGTGGTATAGGTAAACGTACCTCCACCTTTGGTCGCACTCAATTTAGATACCAAAATAAAAACGAAAATGTAGTGAACTTAATATATATAAATGGGCACCCCTTGAGTTATGGTTAAATTACGGAAATCCCCTTTTTTTTTGGATAATTACAGTAACTCCTCAACCATGTATTAGTTTACGAAAATACTCATCTAGAGGTAAATTTAGGGATGTTAAATTGGTGTAATCGAACCGAAATTTCGGTACGCCAATATTTCATATTGTTTACCGAGCTGAATATACGATTTGGTTTCGGTAAATAATCGAACTATATGAATTTTATGTAAAAATATTTAAAAGGAGGGGTGGCCATAATTACCCAAATAAGAGAGTTTTTTTTTTCATAATTTGGTCATACATCTGGGAGTGCCCGTCATTTGCCCTTTAAGATAGGCTCGTTGTGATCCAATAAACTAGAGAAAAACCCATATGAAATTACTTTTATGGATATTTCTAGGTGATGCAAAAGGATTATAGTACCCTTATACGCAATTTTTGTCTAAGTTGTATTCAACATTTTGTCTATCTGCATTTATCATTTTTATTGATTTTTTTTAAATTTCAATATACTTATTGTATTGATAATAACTACAAATTACTATATTGGACTATAGTCATTTGAAGTCATGTTCGTTTTTTTTACCCTAAAATTACGGTCAATTAATTATGTACATACACAAATATCGCCGATTGCATATAAATCAACAAAGAAAATTCATGATTTGAATCTTTATATTATAGATCAACTTGTAACCAACCAACATAGATCGAAAAACACGATCTACATGCGTATGTTTTTCAAACAATTAAAAAAAATCATATAGCTTATATACAACTATATGTTACTACATGTGACAATATATGACTATAGCAGATTATCTATAGTTATCGGTTGGAAATCTATGGGACGGAAATTTAAATCTGAAAGTGGAAGAGAAAGAGAGAGAGACGAGTGTGTGTTGACTAAGGTTTATAACTGATTCTGTAAGAGTAATTTAGTATACTTTTAAGTCGCCGAATTGTACAACAATTTAAATAAAAAAAATTAGAGGTATAAGAAATAGTGTAACTTGTATATATTTCTCTAACGAGGGGTCCATCGTATTATTCCAATAAGTAAATATAAATGCTAGAGGGACTTCAATGTAAATTAAAAAAATATGTTATCCGTACCAATATGTCAATTAAATAACATGAAATTAACTAATAAGAAAAAAAAAAAAACAAAAAAATAGCCAAAAGTAGTATAATAAATAATAATTTAATGAAGGGGTACGAAAGTAGACGGAGACGCAAATAGGCAATACCAAAATTACCATACACCCCACTACAAAAAGTAAATAGAACCTCCATTTTTCTCTCTCTCTATTTATTTGCTGCAATTACAAGCATTCACCTGAAAAACTATCCACTTTTTTTTTTCTTGATTTTTTTTTGAAAGGGTTTTTGATTTCCCTTTTGCTTTTTTTGAATTGGGTTTCTGTTGGTTTTCTTTTTTTAATTAAGAATTGTGGGATTTGGTGAACTATCGATTCTGCTTTTCTTTATTTTATTTACTTTTATAATTTTCGTTTTTTGAGATTATGGAGCGAGATTTCATGGGTTTGATCTGTAAGGATTCTGTTGTTGCTGTTAAGGAAGAATTTGTCGACGGAGATTGCCAAGATTCTGCCGGTAACAAAAATTCTCTCTCTAATTCTTTGAATTAATTGTTGGGTTTAGACTTCTTTAGAGTGATGAATTAAACTTTAATTGTTTAAAAAATAATTATTTTTTTGAAAAATGAAGTTTGATTCACGTTTCACCGCCTTTTCTAGTCTTTGTGATGTATATTTATGGGAATTCTTTATTTTTCATAGTAATTTAATTGTTTTCTTCATGATGGAAATTGTCGGTGGTTTCGGTTTCGGTTTCGGTTTTTATGCAAAATTGGATTTATGGGATATTTTTATTATTTTTTATTTATGGGAATTCTTTATTATTCATAGTGATGAAATTTTTGGTGTTAGGTAATTTATTAATGGATTTTCCAGTTTCTTGAATTTTTTTTGTCTAATTGGAGTATATGACCTAAATTGATTAGTTGATTTGTGGTGAAAGTGGTTAGGTTTCAGATCTTAACCAATCCGATCGGATTTCGGATTAATTCCTCTTCGTGATTATGTTAATATTGCCCGGTAGTTATCATTTAATAGACTTGTGTAATTACGTTCGACTTCGATCACTTGTTAAAGAAGAGTAGTTGTGTTCGGCAAGTGTTGTGGAATTTATACGTAGATTTCTAATTAAATTTGTTTTTAAATTAAATTTTCCTGATTTTAAGGATTCGCAAGAAACTCGAGCGCTCCGTGGCAGTTTCCGAACAAGGTGCCTTCTCAATTAGATGAACCTTCAAAGGTAAAATACCGTTGAAAAAAAAAAACTATTTATGAAAAAAAAAAAGCGTTGTATTCCGATCCGTTGCGTTAATTTTTATATATGGAAGGTTTTTATGTATCGATTTGCCGCAGAATGGGCATTCACCACAACCGATTCACGACTTCAAGAACATGCATACATCATCAATGATGTCATCTCCTTTCTTCAAGACTCGTTTTATGGGTGCGCAGCAATTTCTTGGTGCAAATACTCCTACACCACCTCGTTCGATTCTTCCTCCATCCGGAACAACTGAACAGTGGTGAGCTGCAACTACACACACACACACACACACACACATATATATATATATATATATATATATATATATATATATATATATATATATATATATATATATATATATATATATATAAAAACATATTTTTCTCGATTCTTTTACTGGGTAACAGGACTAATTCTAAAGCTTCGACTATTCCTCCTCCCAAACTGACAATCTTCTACAACGGAACTGTAAATGTGTTCGATGACATCACCCCGGAGAAGGTGCTCGCTTGCTCTCTCGTTTTTTATTTTTTTTACGAATATTTTTTGGTTTATTAAATCAATTTTTATTTTTATGTTTCAGGCTCAGGCGATTATGTTTTTGGCCGGAAACGGCTTTATGTCAACTAACATGGGGCAATCGAAGCATCACATGCAAGCACCCGTCGCCAAACTTCCAGCTGGCGATCGGCCGTCGGTCAGCCAATCGATGAATATGCCACCTAGCCCTATGTCTATCTCTTCTCACCCCGTTGATGTTAACAATGACGAGGCTAAGGTAACCGCTGCCACGTCAGCAACTCTCGTCAACAAAGTCGAGACGCCTAGAGTGATGTCATCACTAGGATCTGTTTCTGCATCCGCTATGATATCTTCAGGTATATCTTATCCAAATTTACCAAGCACGTGAATTTTTTTTTACCGTCTTGAATCGAGTTTTTTTCCGCTTCGGGTTGAGACTTTCTTGATCTTTTGAGAACTAAAAAGATGAGTATCTAATTAATATCGGGTTTTTTTTGTTTTTTTGTTTTTTCTTTTTCTGCAGCTGTTCCACAGGCACGCAAAGCATCACTTGCTCGATTTTTGGAGAAGCGTAAGGAGAGGTACTTCGGAAATAAACATCGATCACTAAATTTGTCAACTTAGTTTTTTTTTTTTTTTTTTTTTAATTTTGTTTTTATTTAATTTTTAATTTAATTTTATTTGCAGGGCGATGAGTGCAGCACCTTATAATGTGAGCAAGAAAGCAGGTGATTGTGCCACTCCAGAGTCGAACGGCTTCGGCTTCTCGGCTACTTCTGGAAATTGCGCTCTCTAGTAGTATGATTTTATTAATTTTTACATCTGAAATTTTCAATATAATAGGAACTAAATAGAGTTGTGTACTAAATAAAATTAATTCTAAGCCTTTTTAAGTTATTTTGAACAATTCACTTACTAATAGCTTGTATTTTCTGAAATTCTTGATCTATTAATTATATTTCAATATATTTATTAATTTCTTTGTCATCTGATGTATAATCTCATTTATGTACAGTTAAATTTCTATAAAATTACTACGGTTGGACCAACAAAATTCTATTAATTTAAAGAAATATTAAACTATCGAATTAATAATTTAGCACGTTTTCACCGAGTCGAGGCTAGGATAAATTATTATTTAAACGAGATTATTAATTTAGGTAAATTTCACTTCCCTGTACTTTGGCTCGATATCACTTTACCCTCTTCTACTCTCGATTGCATCGATTTGTCTGCTTGTACTTAAAAAATTGTTTCAATGTGACCCTCGTTGTTAGTTGTCAGACATTTGATTGTAACACCGTTTGGTCTAAGATCTGAAATTACAAAAACACCACCCCTCCCAGTTTAAATAATTATTAAAAAAACAAAAAAGAAAAAAAAACAATAAAATAATAATAAAAAAATCTAGACAACGAGAAAGCATAGGCTACGGCGGCAACCACAATTTATTTTTAATTTTTTTAATAATTATTTAAACTGAGAGGGGTGATTTCTTTTGTAATTTTTAGACTTCGATCAAACGGTGTTAAGGTTAAATGTCTAAAAACTAAATGCGAGAGCCACATTGACACAGTTTTTCAAATACAGTGGGCAAATCGATGCAATTGAAAATAGAAGGGGTATAGTGATATCGAGTCACGGTAAAAGGAAAAGTGGAATTTACACATTAATTTATTTAGGTTTTGCTATATATGTAACGGAAGTGGGATATTTTTGCAAGTGGATTCTTGATTAAGAAATATGGACATTTATCATGTGGCTAAGGATGTAATAATTGATGGGATTAATTGTGATTAGTGGCCGACCCTTTTTCAGTGGTAGCTGTCGCCAATGGTGGTGATGGGGTGGTTGCCATTATCTCCAATATTATATATTTTAGAGTAAAAAGCAGTTTGCCCCCTAAACTATGACCCATTTTGCACTTTGCCCCCTAAACAATTTTTTTTTGCACGTTCTTACCTAAACTCATTTTTTTGTTGCACGGTGCCCTAAAAGTGATATTTTCCGGCAAATGTCACCAGAATCTCACGCACGTGCCATTCACGTGGGATTTGGAAGGGTAAATTTGTCTTTTTACTTTTAATTATTGTATTATATTCCATTTCAATTTTTTATTATCTTCTATTTTGGTCATCTTCCCCAACTAGTCTTCTCCCCCAGCTCTCTGGTTCTAATCATGACCTACAAGATCTTGAAGAAAACTCTTAGCCACTGATGGGCCGAAAATGGGTCGAAAAAATTCATCAAAGAAACTCATCATAGCCTCCTCCATCCCCACCCGTATCTCTGCCTTCTACCACCACTTTCACGGCGGCGCAGGGAAGGAATACCCAAGACAATCCAAAGCATCAATAAGCGCGAACATTGAGCAAGAACTCAACGACGCCGATCTCACCTTCGATGTCAGTCGCCAATTGGAGAGAAACTCGTTGCTCGCCGACAAAATCAAGCCATTAAAGACACACCCAAGGTTTCACTACGATCAAAACAAGCCCCAAAATTTTCATCGAGAAGCATTCTCCCCTGGAACAATAGGAAATACCGTACGTTGCAACAAACCGATCAGAAAAACCTTAAATCATAAATTCACCAACAACAACCAAATTCGAAGTCGAATTAACATTAAAATAAGCATTAAAGGCCCAACACAAACAAACCACCGCCTCCGACCCTCTTTCTCAACCAAACTCTGCTCACCTCCAGACACAATCAAGCTAATACAGGAAAGTGATATTTGGAAAGCGGAAGCATACGGCAGCGGGTGTGGGGAAGAAACGAACAAGAGGAAAACGGTGGTAAAAGGGGAAAAGGAAGAGGGTTTTTGAGAGGAAAAATAGAGAAGGGTGATTGGAGAACCTGCCATAGTAAGAATCTATGGAATTGTTTCTTGATGATGGTCGTACGGGAGCCGGCGGCGGCGGCGGCACCGTCGTTATCCTTGATCAGTCTCCGATCTATGGCGGCGGAGATTTGCTCCACCTCCATCGTCGCCGTCTTTACAATCCCTTTATAGCAGCTGCAATCCTCTCAATTGAGTTGGGATTTCTCTTGGCTGGGCGTGGAGATGGGTTGGGATGGTAATGCGTTACAGCGCTTTTTCTTTTCTTTTTTTCTTTTTGTTTTTTTGCTTATTTATTTATTTAATTTATTTAAATGATTAATTTATATTCAATATATAGGATGTATATGAATGGACAAATTTGTCCCTCCAAATCTCACGTGCAATGCACATGTTTTAGCATTCCGGTCAAAATTGCCGGAAAATTTAGTTCAGGGGGCACCGTGCAAGGAATTAACGAGTTTAGGTAAAAACGTGCAAATTTTTTTTGTTTGGGGGGCAAAGTGCAAAACGGTCATTAATTTAGGGGGCAAACTGCTTTTTACTCTATATTTTATTTTATTTTCACTTTCATTTTATTTATTATTTCCAGCACGTTTTTATTACTTGTGTATATTTAATATTTGTGGTTATGTTGTCTATTTCATGGCCCCATTTGTCAATTGTTGGGGTTTTATTGATTTTATGGGGTGTTAGGTACTTAGGTTGGGATTAAATATTATTATATTTGGTTTTTAAACCGAAAATTCGGTATGCCGAAATTCTGCTTGATCGATAACCTGTCGAAATATTCGATGGCAACTATTTAAATAAATATTTTTAGTTAATAAACAACGAATTATAATATAGAAATATAAATATGTACGTAAATTAATATGAAACAAAAATATGTTAACACATCGACAGTTATTATGGAACATCGAAAGTAATCGACCCCGGAGTATTGTAATTCAATTTGGACAACCTGAAAATCATGTTTTTCTTAAGGAAAAAAATATGGCCCTATCTAAATTTCCACAAGTCGGGTCAGGATAATAAAATTCAACCCGGCCCGGAAAGCCCACCCTAGATATAAATGGGCCTGGCGGTGAAGTATAACAAGTGGGCCATTATCAAATGGGTCTCGAAAGGAGGGTTCTTATTCTAAGGTAATGGACGTATTTATATTTAATTCCTAATAAAATTCAAAAAAACTAGTTAAATTATGAAAATAATTTTTTTTACCAAAAACGTAAAAAAAAAAAAAAAGAGGTGTTAATTCTAGTATCTCGTAATCTAATTGGGAACAATTCAATTGACAGAATTCTCACGATTTTTCTACGAATTGATATGAATTTTCTAAAACTTTTCTAAAATGACAAATGGATTTTGGGAATCTTTATAACGACGTTGAGTCAACCGAGGGCCCAATCCACTTCGATTTTCAGCCGCACGAATATGTTACTGTTTAAGGCATCTCTCGGAGATTTGGAAACACTAGTTATAATTAATTAAGGCTTCGTTTGACTGGAGAGATTAGTCATAATTAACTAAATAATAGGATTTTCTTTGATGTTTGATACCACAATAAGTTGCCTGATCGACCCGCCAAAATTATGTTATCATGACTTATCTTATCTTTTAGTGAGCCATTTTTGCTCGACGTCACGGGGTCCGATAAAATAATTGGGGCCAATGAGAAATCGAATGCATGCAAGCAGTTGCTTCCTTGACCTTATTCCTATCAGTGACAGCACTAAATTATAAGTTATATATAAATATATAATATATAAATATTTGATTAATTGGTTGCCGTAAGAGAAAATATCATTTCAATTAATTTATACACAGGTGGACTGGTGGTATAAGGACAGTTTATCCAACGACCAATCAAGAAGAATGTATGACTTTTCGCCAACCATGAATCTCTCTTGTGTTTAACAATTGACTTCTTGATAATGAAATTTCAGTCTCATATATATATATGGTGAAATGCATTTAGATAGTATATATTATAACAACATTTGAAATATAAATATATATATATAGAAATGGTGTAGTTTTTTTTGGTGTAGTTTTTTCCTCTCTTACAAAAATGGTGACTATTGTTATTAGGGATGTAAACGAGCCTAGCTTGACTGTTTTGGCGAGTTTGACCTCGTGCTCGTATCTATTTTCACAAGTTTGTGCTCGAGCTCTTCGAGTATTGTTTTTCTGGGTTCAAGCCATTTTGTGTATTTTGTTAATTTTGTTTAATATTATTAGAAATTTATTATTATAAATTATTTTTTGAGTTCACGAACCGGCTCAAAAACTCATGAACAAATGAAAATGAGCTCGGGCTCGACTCGTCAGAAAGCTCGAGCTCGAAAAAATCGAATTCAAGTTTTTGTTGAGCCGACTCACCGAGCTCAAGCCAAGTTTTTTTTTCTTTTACGAAAATGTTTATTTTATATATATTCATGTCTTACAATTGCATAGAACGTACGATGAACATCCACATATTATGATATAATAAAATTCACAAATTATAACAAATATAGTGTAGAAAGCATTACATATTAATTATTACAATATGAAATGAAGAAAATAGGTAGAAAATTAATTGACAACCAAAATACCAGAATTCGTGGACCATAAAACAACATTAAAATGAACACAAGTTGGCCTCCAACAATTCATCTACTCATTCCTCCTTCAACAAATGGGGCCTTTCTCACTCCTTGATTTTTTCCTTCAACAATTTCTTTCAAACCTAACATTTTTTTTATGTAAAAACAAATAAATATATCATTATATAAAGAAAATTCAAATATAAAATTAGATATAAGTAATAAAAAAATAAAAATCCAATTTGTAATTAGACATTGCATATGGTGACATCAACTCATCTCTTATCAACTAGACAAGCCAGGATTTTATGTCGTCGGGGTCCCATACGACTAAAAAAATATTATTGGGGGCCCGTTAATTCTGTTGTATACGAGAATCATTGTATGCTGGCACCGGTCACTAGTGGTCACATCATGGTTGACCAGGTCTCGCGAATCCGAATCCAACCGCTCAATACATTAATGTGTGCATTGTTAATACTCTTACCTTGTTAATTTTTCGTGGCGAGTTTTTTTATTTTACGGAATTCGTGAGAAGGAAGAAGAAAAAAAAACACGAGTTTAATTATACTAATAAAACAAAAGGACTAGTATATATATACGTACTGAGCGACATGTCGAATCCACGGTATTTGAGCTCGCGGTACTCTTGACGCAAAGCGCAAGGCTCGCAGCAACAGTGGACCATACAATCGGTGCAGTTGTTGCCGTCGATCATGTACTGTTTTCTCAGCTTCGACCGATAAAAGCACGAGTAAAAACACGGGCAGCCGGTTGAATGCCTTATTAGAGCGTATACACCTCCTGCTACCAAACAAGCTGCATCCATGCATGCACCCAAATTCAGACTTACTAATTATTATTATTATAAGGGCAAATTACGACTGCACCTGAGGTATGACCAAATTACGAAAAAACACCTAAACGGCAATATGGTATAGGTCGACAACGTTGGCCTGCCGTCTCGGAAGAAGTGGGGTCCCACTCC